AAATGTATGCTTGAACATAAGCGAAGAAAAAGCAGCATTACCAGAATGGAACTGTTTTTTTTTCTTCACGCCCGCTCTCCTTGTAGACAATCTTCCACCTCAAACGCATTTTCTGGTACGCCTAACAGCACTTTAGGGAATGAACACGACCGAGAGGCTTCCGTAATGTTTGAGCTCAATTACTAAATAGGAGGTAAACCCGCCGCGAACAGGGCTGAGTGCTACAGGCGCCTCAAACTGTTTTAGCCATTATACACTGGGAAAGCTTACCACATCAAGGCCGAGATCCATCTCATAATAATAGCGTCTAACACGATGAAGAAGTTGATCATCAATCGTGCCTGATCGCCAAGTATGCTGAGAATCACACCGAATCCACTGCAAAACACGATCAGGCCTGGAAAGCACACAAAAATCTTGCAGCTAGAGTTACCCATAAATAGTTTCCAGCAAACCTAGAACATTCATTTCGTTTGTGTAGGTGAGTTGTGGTTTGTGGAAAACCACGTCAGACACGTTGCTCGTGCCGTTGAGACGTTGCAGCTTTGGCCTGATCGGCACGTAGTAGGTCTGTACTTGTTGGAATGTCGCCTGGATAATGTTCTCGGGAAACATGTTCCTAGAAAAGACCTATTTGAAAAAAATTGAATTCAAGCGGTCGGTCGACTTTCGGGTAATTTCCTCTTGCAGCTGAAATTTGCAGCTGGGATGGGGCAGAGCTTTTGCCACGGAACGCCATAGAAACCGAAACTTGACTTAGGAAGCGCAAACCTGATTTGATCGAGGAATGTGTCAAGCGTCGATAAGGCCGTATTCTCGAGAGTTCCTTCGCCAAGTGAGTCTATCAGTGATGGGTCTCCGGGATGAATCGAAGAGACAAGGATTATTCCTGTCTGAAAGACGAATAAAATTATCCCAACAAGTTCGATAGTCATCTTTGTCAAAGCCTTCCATTGACTGAAAGATGAATCGTTCGACATTGATCAAGTTATTCGCGGATGCGCGCATTCATTACTTCGGGCTATGAATGTTTCGGTATTTTACCTTTCACTCGAAAATGGATTGAGAAATTAGCTAGGTATGGAGCCTATAACCATTGATTGCAGGATCTAGCCAACGTTTAGAAAGTGGAAGCGGTTCTCCTGGCTAAAATCCAGAAGTAATTCTATTTTCGAAAATATAGAAAGTCTGTGTATTCCCAACCATAATATTCTCGGGAAAAGTTCTGAAGAAAAGCAACGATTGAGCGCTGATTGAGTGATCATTGCCGCTTTGCTGAGCGAGCGTTCCTCTGTTCAATTGCACCGATCTAATGGCAAGCCCAATATTGCTAAGGGACTAGTGTCATTAGTACACTGAATTTGATACGGGACTTCAAATTTACTCCTTAGGCAGAATAGCATTCCCCAGTACGAAAGTTATGGACGGTTTATGGTACCCATTCAGGGTATATAAGAGAAATATGAAAGTGTGAATCAATCCCACAGGTCCGGCAAGTGGAAATGTCAACTCGTGCTGCTGGCCTAATACGGCGTATTGCGGCGAATTTAGATGTTGCACGCGTACTTTTACCAACAGCCCACGAATTACTATAGTATGAAAGTATGTAAAAGACTGCTAAGACAGGTAGGACTATACCGTGTCGCCAGAAAAAAAGATGACACTTTAGCTCATGGCGCACATCATCGAACTTTTCGTCGCACACAGGGAGCCGATGTTAATGAAAGTTTTACGGCGGAATATTCCTTAGGTGTTCCCCCGTAAACAGAAGCAGGCCCTCCTTCACTGCCCCGCCGTCTTCAGAATATGACGTCATCTGCCGTCACCGTCGAGCTCAACGAGGCTTACCGTAATCGCTCCGACCTGAAGCTGCTACACAATTTCTTCAATGAATTAATTGTTGAATAGCTTCCCAGAGACATTAGCTGTGAATGTGCAAAACCGCTTTTGACCAGGCGTTTCAAGGACGTCATAGTCGTCTATGGTATCTCGACGACCTTGTTGAGCTCGTACCGTGCACAATGCTTCCTTCGGAAAATCTTCTGATGTCGTGTTTCCTGTTGGATCATTTGGTGGCGAATTCGCTACGCGGTTAATAAATCCGTTATTGAATGGGAGTGAAGTGTCTTTTCTTGGGCCACCCCTGTACATTATAGTGAATACAAGCCCACCGTCTGGTCTCTGAGGTGCACAGGCAGCCACTGGAGGGAGAACGGGAACGGTAAGAAAGGAAAAGCGCGAAAACATTGAAAACACTACTAGACAAATGTTGTAGCAGGGAAGGTGGTAGTCAGTTATAGAATGACCGTAACGATGCATGTTGTCTGGCGTCTCGAGCTCGAACTTGGGCCAAAGCTGGTGCATTTTGAATTTATAGGGATATACAACAGTCAAACACGGAAGCAAGAGAAGTAGTATCAAAGTGAATAAGTAATTTTTCTAGGCAGTCGGCAGGAAAGAACCAGTCTGCTGATTTAAGTGAAAAGATTTTTTTTTTTTTGTTCCCAAACCGGGTCGCTGGGAGTTGAAAAAGGGCCAAGAAGGGTCTTGACCAAGAAGAGTGACATATCAGAGGTAAAGGGAATGAACTGCTTTATTTGCACGCATTCTTTTAAAAATATACTAACTTTATCTTTATCCCTTGAGACTATGATTATTATTACTCTTTATTACTACCATAAAATACCTGATATGACCGATGAAATGATAAGTGGCAGAATCATCATCTCGACAATTTGCATGAAAATCTCTCCCGGAAATCCAATAAGGCTGATGGTATCATTGCTGAAACATGAACGAATTAGCAAAAAAAGCATTTTTCAATGTTTTTTTTCAGAAGCAGACACAAACAGCCTAATAAAAAAGGAACGAAGTTTTTCCAAGTCCTTCAGGCTGTGAAATTTCAAATCACTTCAGCGTTAGAAACGTGTTTCCCTGTTTGGAAAACGGCAACATTTCAGGATCACAACGTGCGCTTTTTTTATTATCTGTCGAATTTGATATTTGCACCCATGTATGCACAGCCAATCCTAATCAGTCTTTAACTACCTAAGTAACTGCCTTGGGGCCGTTGATGAGGATTTGGACAAGTTTTGACTGCTGTTTTGTAACTTTCAAATAAGAGCAGATCAGCAGGATCTCTACGCGAATCAACGGCCTTGACGGGCAATCTTGTTTACGTGCGATGTTGTTCATCTGCTTAGGTGATGAGCGCTCTTTAATGAGTAGCCAAAAACAACTTTGGGTTGAAGAACGAATGATTAATTCCTTGAAACCACTTCGCCTTCTCTAACCTACTCTTATCAACTGTATAGAACAATGTGAAATACTTTTCAATCAATTTCGGCACTTTGCAATAGCTGCTCCTTCAAACTTTACTGGAATCTTGAATTCAGGCCAGAGAAAGGATGCCCTCATAATTTTGAGCCAGAGGCCGCGAAGCTAAGCCTCTGTTCAGATTGGCTGAAATCCAATAAGCAACCTATTGAAAGACTACGAATACTGGCATGGTTTCACGACAAGGATAGAACGACATGCTAGGATCAGGTCAGCGGGAAGAGATAAGGAGATGC